ACCTCTCTCAGATTTGTTCATTTCATGATGATATCTTTAATTCTCTAATTTTGATGAATATTTTTGTAATTTTTGGTAAAAAGTGATATTTTCGACTTCTTGTTGAAAACCGCAAGTCCAATTGCTTTGATATATTATACATATAGGTACTACATGTGGACCTCTCTCGGATTTGTTCATTTTCTAATGATGTCTTCTGTTCTTTAATTGCCATGTGCATTGCTAACAGCGGAGCTATCTCAGCCGACAGGCTGCTTGTTTTTAGTAACTGGTCATCGGCAACCATATAGATCGTGCGGTCTGAGTATCATTCCTGTTTGATTTACTGTCATAGGATGCGTTATTTCCAGAATACACTGTTTATCACCAATTACACACCATTGAAACATAACAGTAAACAATAGTAAACACAGTATTCATTTCATTAAAAACGACAAGGATATTTCTGTCTCGTACGCATTCTCTGTGACACCCAGCGGTGTTTCAGCAGTCCAACTTCATGTGATATTGACTGACAGCAGTTAATTATTCAAGCTTAGTAGCACAATGATCGTTCTCCAGTTCGTGGTTTTGACTTTTATCCACTAAAATCTCAGCTCCTACACTATTTATTGTTATAAATACTATATATAATATCTTCTGTGATATTCATTTTCACATACACTTTGGCAAGACATAAAAGACCTGTAAGTTTGAGAAAAAACGTCTTCCCCGGAGCCTGGCTAGAGTTGTTTACTACAGAGTGACTTGCTAGGAATTGACATGCACGCTCTGGCAATCTAACTAAATCCATAAAAGATAGTGGGTCCTTCCTTCCAAGCTAAATCTAACTAAAACACCACCTCTATCAAAGTAATTTAGACTATTGCAGCAATGCCGTGTTTACTGAATCTAATATACTATAGGACTTCTACATCAAAATATTGCAGGCACAAAAATTTATAAACTGAGGTTTCAAAAAAATTCTTTCACAATGACATGTATCCATAACCCATATTCT